GGGAGGAGGCGGGGGGTACAGGGTGCAATGCATCGAGCAACCTCGGGGCTCGGACCCGGGCACCCCGAGAGCCTCGCATGGTACCTGAGCTGCAGACAAGGACAGGGCTCCAAGTCAGGCCCTCCCCTCTCACCAGCACTAACGCCACCGCCGCCAGTGTCAAAGGCACAAAGAGAGAACAACAGCGTGACAGAGGAGCGTGAGCCTCATCTCCTCTCCCTCCTCGGGCACCGATGTGGTGCCACGGCCCCCAGGGACCATGGGGGGACCCCTTGCCTGCGAGCATCACGTTGGCACCCACTCGTCCCTCCTCAAGCTTACACCGCGCCGCCTGCTCCAGCCGGCAGCACAGAGGAGGGCAGAGCAGCATGAAAATCATCCCTGGATGCTTCTCCCCTCCGTTGCATGGGCACTGCAGACATCGAGCCACCCTGCACCCCACCTGCGGAGGAGGACCCAACCGCAGGTGCCACGAGCTCGGTACCAGAAATCCACTGCACGGCGATGCTCAGCAGGGACACCCCACAGAGCAAAGGAGCAGCACCCTGCCCGCGCTGTGATGCTGCAGAGGATGCAGGCGCAAATCCCACCAGCCGCATCCCCATCCCTGCACGGCTCCGGGGCACTGCTCCCCCTCGGAGCAGCAGGGAAACCACCGTCCGAGGGTACCTCTTCCAGCACAAACGTGCTCAGAGGTCAGCTCCATCTAGCAGGCGGGTCCTTTTGCTGTCTCTATGAGCCCCGGGATGTGTAGCAAGCGTGTAGCTCCAGCTCTGCCACCCTTAGGTCTATTTTCCCTAACAGCCTCTTCTACCTTCTTTCAAGTCCACTTTCACCACCAATCTCTTCCTAGCATCTCCAACTTGCTTTGCTTTGCCCCCTGCCTGCTTGCTCAACAGCATTTGACAAACAGGGAGAAATATCCCTCTGGAGCAGCCACACGCTTTTTGCTTCCTGTTTTACCCTGGAAATACTTAAAAAAAAAAAAAAAAAAAAAAATCAGGGTCTAGTAGTCATAACACACAGTTGTATCGTCCTCCCACCCCAGCCAAGGGAAGGCAAAGAGCTGACAAGGACAACGGCCACTTACGCCAAGGCAAAAGCCACCAGCGCTCCCACAACCACGATGAAATCCAGGATGTTCCAGAGGTCTCGGAAATAGGAGCCGTCCTGCAGGATCAAGCCCTGATCGATCATCTACAAGGACGGGGGAAACAGTGAGAAAAACAGGCAGGGAAGGAGCAGCTCGGAAGCAGCCGCAGGCAGGATGTGCTGGGGACAGGGACATGGCTGGGCAGCAGCAGCCCTGACCCTGGACCCCAGAAATGTGTCAAGAAGCATCGTATTTTAGGAGCCTGGAGACAGGTAAAAGCGGCGTTGAGCATTCTCAACTCCCACCGCTAAGAACCAGACTTTAAAGTCTCCAAATTTAGGACCAGAACCGAAAAACTGAGATGTTTCCCACCCGCTGCAAGGATGCTGCGGGATTCGGCACCCTTGGAGCAGCCAACCTGCAAAGGCTCTTACCTTGATAACCATCTCGAAGGTGAAGACACCAGTGAAGACGTAGTCGAAATACCTCAGGACCTGCAGAGAGAGGGCACGGGCGCTCTGCAGCCACTGCCAAGGGTCAGTTTTGCTTGCCCCAAGCCCAGCCTGTTCCTTAGGAGGTTCAGGACAGCCATAAACCCACCCTAAGTAGGCAGGAGAGAAACATTTCCCCTGCATGGTGCAAGCGGCTCTGAAATCATGCTGCGAGCCAGAATCATGCTCCCCCATAGCAGTCCCTGTGAACATCAGCATTTCCCCAGTTTAAGCTACTTTACTATCGACAAGACACCCTGGTCTGCTCCCCAAGGCTTTAAATCCCGCGTGCAGGAGGCTGAGAGGGATTTCCAGGGTTTATAAGGGAAGGTGATTGCAAAGAAGTCAGACCCCACCAGTCGCCCCGCTCCGTGTCCCACATGTGCCCCATCACGGAAGCTAAGATCCTACAGATCCTCTGCCTGCGGGATGGGGGGAGCAGGGGAGGTTTGCAATCACTTTGTTGCGGTCGGAGTTGGTGAGGACGGGATCCTCCGCCGCGAGGGCGATGCTGCTGGCGGCGATCACCAGGAGGATGCACATCTCGAAGTAGCGCAGGTTCACGATGTAGTGGCAAGCCCTCCGCACCCTGCAGGGAGACAGCCCGCACCCTGAGCTGTGAGCCCCTGGCACGCCCCACGTGCAAAACCCACCCCACATCGCCGGCTTCCAGGGCAGAAAGACAGGCAGCAAGGTCTGAGGAGCAACACAAGGGAGCCCATGGGTAGTTTGGGCTTGCTGACCCTTTTGCTCAGCTGTCCCAGCCCCCCAGACACCCCATGGCCAGCCAGGGAGAGTCCCTGACAAATTGGGGTGCTTGCTCTTCCAGGCTGCTGGAGCTTGGCAAGAGCTACGGGGGAGCAGAAAACTGCAGAAAAACGTAACAAGCGTTGAATAAAATATCACATCTAGCTATCAGCATTCAGAGGAGAAAACCATAAGCGCGGCTGGCACAAAGGTAGAGCACTGCCAAGGCTCAGGGAACACCATGGCTTCTTATCCAGGCTCTTTGAGAGATATTCAGCCCACTTCCCAAGGGGATCCCCTGGTGTCATTGATGTCTAGGGGTCCTTCCCCTTGCATCCCTTCCCAGCTTGGGGCTCCTACGGTCCAAAAAATGTCTCACGGGTTGGTGGTGCTGAAGATGAACATGGAACTGTGTGGCACCATCGCTTTCCCCGTCTCGCTTTTCTCCTTCTTCCGCTTCTTGTTCTCCATCTCCTCCTCGTCCTCTTTGGTCTCGGCCTCCTTTAAGGGGCTGGCTTCACCGTCTGTCTTGTTGCTAACTGCAGGAAAGCGAGAGCCTTTGCCCGGCCTTGCACCCAGACAGCACCCTGGGGTGCCCCTGCCACCCAGGCACACACAACCCCCTCCCCAGTTTCTGCTTTGCATCCCCCTGCCGTTACAGGGAGAGGGACCAGAGGGGAAAGACAGACATAAGATGCTGGGATGAAGCAGACAAAAGGGGGATTAACAAGTCCAGCTTTCGCAGCGCTGTAATTAATAACACCGTCTAAAGAAGCTCACCTTGACAGCAAAGATGCTGTTAAGGGATCTGAGCGGCAGCGAGCTGGGCGGAGGCTGCAGATGTGTCAGGAAAAACAGGGGATGCAAGTGTCTTGCACAGGTGGGGAGGAAGGCAAAAGGAGGGACTGGGTGAAGGGGCAGGTGGGAAGGGTGTGAGACAGGGAGAAGATCCCCAGGGGACCATTACATATCAGCTTTGCTTTCGGGCTCTCCTGCAAAACTGGGATGCTGGAGGGAGGTGCTGCAGGAGCAGCAAGGAAAGCCCCCCCACCCCAGTGGATGGATGTGCATAGGAAAAGCCATACAAACGGCTTTCCATCCCCACAGGGTCCCTGAGGGCTGGGAGAGGGGCTCAGGAAAGAGAGACGGGTCCTCACTCTGTACCACAGCGGAGTCGTGGACATCGATCATGATGGTGGTGCTCTCCGTGGCCTTCTCGGTGTTGGCGGTGATGGAGGAGAGGTCGGGCTCACTCCGGCTGACGGTGCGGCTGGCCTCCAGCAGTGCTTGCTCACTGGTGTCCAGGCTGCCGCAGTCCTGCTCTGTCAGGCTCCCCGTCTTCCCCCGGAGGGGCTCGGGCTCTGCTTGCGGGGGGCTCCCCTCCTCCATGGTCCCAACCAGCTCGGCATCGCCAGCAGGGACCTCGTTTGTCCTGCAGGAGGGATGGGGGAGAAGAAGAGGTGCGAGAAGATAAGGGGAGAAGACAAGTAGCAATGGGAACTGGTAGATGCGCTCCCCGGGTACCAACCTGACCGGATCTCCGCTCGCCTCTGACTCCCCCTCAATCAGGACCTCTGTTGCGGCCACATCCCCGCACCGCTCCCCATCCTGCGGCCCCTCCGTGGGGCTGGCCTCCTCCAGACCCATCTCCTGGCTGGCCGAGCGGCTCCCC